CTCTGTTACTGAATAACAACTAAAACGCTTATTACAAACTGTTATAATTTATAATACTTGGTTTTCTGATGCTGGAACTCTAGACCTTAATCTCTGAGAACAAGTGGTCAGGAATTTAAAGAGAAATCAGGCCCAGGGAGAACAAGTGCCCCATCATCAGTAACTGTGTGGGCTCTTGTTTGAGCTGCACTGTGCCCACTTTATATAGAGGATCAAAAGCCTACAGAGCGACAGGAGGATTTATCACCGCCCCCTCCTCCTGAAGCAGAGCCTCTGAGCCTGTAATACCTAAAGCCCCGCTGCTGGAGGAAATACTTCCCAACCCTCCATCTCCAGTGTGGGAAGGCTCATCAACTAGATCACATGTGTCAAACACAAGGCCCGCGGGCCAAATCCGTCCCGCCAGGCCTTGCAATGTGGCCCGCACCGCGCTGTCATCACTGCACTCCGCTGCGTTTCCATCACAATGACAGTTTATGACTGTTCAGTAAACCATTTGGCCTGCGATTTAGGCTGGATTTTAGATTTTGGCCCCTTCTCTGATTGAGTTCGACACCCCTAAACTAGATACTCAGTTATGGGGTCCTGTGTCAGGCAAGCCAGGTTAGAAGGAAAGCTTTTGGCTTGCCCAGTTATGCAAGATCAACAAGGTAATAGAATTCAAAAGCCACTCTCCTTTAATACCTTTTTAAGAATAAGAAAAAATATTAGAGAAAATGGAGCAAACAGTCCATTTACAAAAGGACTCCTTAATGCCTTGTCTGAAAAATATCACATGACTCCTCAGAGTTGTTTGTGGTAATTTTGGCCGAAACAACTCTAGATGCCAGTCAACATTTATTATGGAAAGCAGAATATAATCTATATATATGAAATCCTAATAAGCAAATAGATCGAATGGTGGAACAACCGAACAACCAGTTCCTACCACGTGCGCTGACCACCTGGGCACACGTGGAACATGGCAGGTATCGGTGGCAGCAGGATGGTGGAGCAGGTGAGCAGGGGCACCAGACCAAGGTGGGGCACTGGGTGCTGCCATTGGGGTGAGCCTCTGGTGGTTACTGAAAATTTTTTGCTGGGTAATCGCACCTGCTGCTGGCACTGGCCCCAATCGCTCCACACTATCAGCCTGTGAGTGGGGCTGACACTGTCAGCTGTGGGAGTGGCGGTAGCAGGAGCAGGAGAGGGGCTGCCACCAGACAGGGGACTGGGCCATGGTGGGAGAGGCCAGGTAGGGTGGCAGAAGATGGGCCGAGACTCCCCTCTGTGCCCACCACAGCCTTACGACCCACAGTTCCTTTCAAGGTGCATGCATTCGTGGGCTAGGCCCCTAGAAAAATATATAAACAACAGATTATTTGTAGGTGTTCACTGACCACCCCATCCAGAACCCTCTGGGCCACATTCTGGTTTTAACTCCCAAGCACTATAAACATCTTCTAAAAGACCCATGAAAAGGACTCTGGTTTATTAAGTCTTGTCTATAAATTATGCATACCTATAACTATTGAACATAATGTCCCTATTAATTATTGTTTTTTAGCTTTGTCATTTCATTTAACTTGCTTAAACATGGGACATATTCCACTTTACTAGGGGCCACAGCTACTTGTAGCAGACTGAACACATGTCAAGAATTGCAAGAACTTCACAGCAGCTGCCAAGAATTCTTAATCTTGGGGACCCTTCCTACTCTCCCTCTCAAAACATCAGCCACTAAAAACTCTTAGCTAGTAGAAGTTCTTGTCTGTCTATAATAAAACTTAGTTACTAATTAATGTTCTTTACTATACTGGATTAATCCTATATAATAAAGAGGTAATATGCAAATTAACCCTCATGCCCCAAGGCCGGCAGGGGTATTAGCGAGGGATGACTAAAGGACTGAACAGCAGGCTGCATGGGAGACCAGGCTGGCAGACGGAGCAGTTGGGGGTGACCAGGTTGGCAGGGGGGTGTAGTTGGGGGTGACCAGGGGGCACAGTTGGGGGTAATTGGGCTGGCATGGGGGGCAATGAGGGGTGACTAGGCTGGCAGTGGGGGGCCAGTTAGAGGCAACCAGGCCAGCAGAGGGGGCCAGTTGAGGGTGGACAGGCCATCAGTGGAGGGCAGTAAGAGGTAACCAGGCCAGCAGGAAGGGAGCTGTTGGAGGTGACCTGGCTAGCAGCGGGGACAGTTAGGAGTGACCAGGCCCACACACAAAGGCAGTGAGGGATGATCAGGCCATTGGGGTTGGAGGTGCAGTTAGGGGCAATCGAGCCAAAAGAGGAGCAGTTAGGTGTTGATCAGGATGGCAGGGAAGTGGTTACAGGGGGTTATCAGGCTGGCAGGCAGAAGATTGTTATGGGCAATCGGGCAGTCAGGTAGGCGAACAGTTGGGGGCCAGCAGTCTGGGATTTTGAGAGGGATGTCCAACTGTCCATTTAGGCCCAAACCACCACTGGAATCAGGCCTAAATGGCAGTCGGACATCCCTTGAGGGGGTCTCAGATTGCAGAGGGTTTAGGCTCGGCTGAAGAATACTCTCTAGCCCCGTGCATGAATTTCATGACTGGGCCTCTAGTACAGTGGTCAGCAAACCGCGGCTTGCAAGCCACATACGGCTCTTTGACCTCTTGAGTGTGGCTCTTCCACAAAATACCACATGCAAGCATGCATGTACAGTGCGATTGAAACTTCGTGGCCCATGCACAGAAGTCAGTTTTTGGCCTGAGTGAGTCTATTTTGAAGAAGTGGCATTAGAACACTCAGGGGCCAAAGAGGAGAATGTGAGCTGCAGTTTGCCAACCACTGCCCTAATATAAAATAAAATTCTAAGGCTAATGTCCGAGCCCGCCTTGTGTGGAAGATTTTTTTCCTGTTTTTAAAATCTCTTCTTATATACAAAATTTCATATCACTAGTCTACTCAAAAAGAGAAAAATATGAGATATAATTATTTAAACTCCCAAGTATTTATCTTAAAGGACTGGAGTTATAAAAATACCGTTAAATAGGTTGCAAAAAAAACAACAGTAAGGTGTTGGGGGAAAGAGATAATCTCCTTACAAAGAAGGGAAAAAAAAGGTACTTTTATCTAAAGCCATTAAAGATCCCAAAATTGCTACAGTCCTGGGAACAAACCCCAGGACCTGTCATCTCCCCACATAAACACCTACCCTTTCTCCAGGCTCCTAAAAATTGTCAAGGTCATATTATCTCTATTATACTTTTTAAAAATGTAAATATATTTTCCATTGAAAAATTAAGCCTTTGTTTAAAAATAAAAGGGAAATTTCTTCCCTATATTTGCCTAAAAACAAAAATTATATATATATTATTGAGATGATTATATTATAATAAAAAACTTAATTACTTTAAATAAATAAATTACTTAATACTATTTAATAATAATATATAATCTTTTAATGTAATATATTTAACTACCTTCCCAAAGTTTAAACTTTAAAAAACATTTTCTTGACCTAAAATTGACTTTAATTCATTCCAATAGACTCTAAAATGCCTCAAATATTTATTTTATTTCTCATAAGTTTTTTTCTACCTAAAATACATAAAACTTTGTCAAATAATAACTATATTATATTTTTATTTATAACTTTAATTATTTTAAAATATTATATTTTACAAAAAAAAAACAAAATTCCACATCATTTAATTACTCTATAAAATATCTAAATTTACAAAAATACTAACAAAAAATGAAAAATAATTTTATTATAACACTAACTAAATAAAAAATATTACTAGTTCTTAAACTTTTTTACTTTTCAAATATAAAAAATTAATAAAACAATTTAATAAATTATATGCTTCTTTCCCTATCTGTCTCTCCAAAATTTAATAATTCTTAATAAATAACAATATATTTCTTTACACAAATTCAATAAAATCTATTTCTAGTTATAACTATAACCAAAATAAAAACTAACAATAGGCCTGCTTATAGCAGCCATGACTTTACTCCTTTTATGACTTAGTCCATTCAACATTCCATAAAAATCCCTTACAATTCACAAAGATAGGCCATTATTAAACATGCCCATTCAACATTAAAAAACATACTAATAAAACAACAAAAAATAGGGCTCAAGGACCCAATGAATTATTAACATAGATACAAGGATATTCATGTGCTTCTACCCCCACAGGCTCTCTATGGATTCCAGCTCGTCGGATTAAACCCTATCATGGCATGGCACTGTGACTGCCAGATCTCCTCCAGCCACTATAATATAACCTTTACTAATAATCTTACTGACAATAGCCTAACTTGCACCATTTACCCCTATGTCTTTGTTATGGGCCCCGATCTATTAATAAGCCATAGTGCATCTTTTCTATTACATGTTGAAAAAGGAGCTTATTCTGCATCCTGTATTAGCACCCAGAATATTATTTCATTGAACATCAACACTATTATGATACTTAAAGACAAGCAAAAATCCTAATACCTATTAATCTCACCAGGAAATGGCAAGGGTCATTAGCTATCAAAGTCTTAAAAAAAAGCATTAAGCCAATTATGGCCCAAAAAATTTTGAAGAATGCTATTGCAGCCATTATCTTGGCTGTTGTTATTTTTACTACTGCTAGCATCGCCGTGATGGCCCTTTCTGAGTCTGTACATACTGCCACATTTGTAGACAACTAGAGACTCGCACAAAATTATGCAAGGGACTTGGCCCTTGCAGCCCTGGCTTCGTCTAGAAGGTTGTCTGGGAGGACGTCCGGTGTAGCATATTACAATTTTATTATTATAGATATGGCCTATAACATAACTAGAATATTCACTATAGAATAGCACATAAATAAAAAAATATTAACTAGACTACAGACAATAGAAACAACCATTAAATATCTGGGGGAATAACAGAACACCATAGCACACAGACAAGTGCTTAATTGTGATTGGAAACATAAGCACATATGTGTCAACACTTTAAAATGGAGTAGTAGTCACCATCAGTGAGTTGATGTTAAAAAGCATCAATTGAGGGGCCTCCTAGTGCTTACCACAGACTGTTCTTACCCTGACTGTACAGAAATTAGAGGCAGAGTAAACTCACGCCATATACATCTAGGCTCAGGCCCTTTGCCTGGTCTGTATTATAAATGGGGAGATAAAAAAAAAAAAAAAAAAAAAAAAAAAAAAAAAAAAAAAAAAGCATCTGTGGAGAATCCTATATAATAAAAGCCTATTAGGTAAAGTGTCTGGTCATCTGTTCAACCAGTCAAAGCATAATATGCTAATGATATGCTAAGGCTGCTCAACTGCTCACTCTGATGTGCATTGACTACAGGGGGCAGATGCTCTGACTGGTAGGTTAGCTCGTGTTGGGGTCCAGCCTATTGGGGCTGAGCAAGACAGGGCAGACATGCCTTGGAGCCCTCCCATGGTCCCTTCTTGGCTGGCCAACATCCCGTGTCCCTCCCTAGCCCTGACCAGTGGGGTCCCTCGGCCCAATTGCAATCCAAGACCCCTCAGGGGGGTGTTAGAGAGCTGGATTTGGCCTAATTCTGCAAACCAGGCTGAGAGACCCCACTGGTGCATAAATTCATGCAACGGGCCTCTAGTTTTCATAATAACCTTACTAAAAAAGTAAACATATTACAAAGATAAATTAAAAAGTCATTATTTACTATCAATAAACATGAAAAACAAACTACTACTTGAAATATGGTAAAGGACATTTAGAATGAATAGACGCCACCACATAGTTTTCTAACATCAATTGGTACTTGATCAGACTAACCATTGCTATCATTGTAATTCTCTTTGTTTTTCTTACAGTCTACAAAATTAAAACTCAACCAATGAACATGCTTCACAGACCCCAATCTTCCAAAGCAAAAAGCTTACTGCCTCACTCTGTCTTCTGTAGCTAGCAAAGTTCTTAGTCTCAGTACCTCAGAATGTGACCTTATTTGAAAACTAGAGGCCCGGTGCATGAAATTTGTGCACTTGGGGGAGGATCCCTCAGCCTGGCCTGCTTCCTCTTGGAGTCTGGGACCCCTCAGGGGATGTCTGACTGACTGCTTAGGCCTCAAGCCATCAGTTGGACATTCTCCACACTGCTGCAGAGGCAGGAGAGGCTCCTATCACCACCACTGTGCTCACCAGCCATGAGCCTGGCTTCTGGCTGAGTGGTGCTCCCCCTGTGGGAGTTCACTGACCACCAGGGGGCAGCTCTTGTATTGAGAATCTGCCCTCTGGTGGTCAGTGCACATCATAGCTACTGGCCATTCCACCATTTGGTCGATTTGCATTTTAGCCTTTTATTAGATAGGTTTTATGTAAATATATTGACTATCACTCCAACACGCTAGATGGCTACCCCCATGTGGTCACAAGATAGTCGCCACAAGATGGCCAGCAGGGAAAGGCAGTTGGGAGGGACCAGGCCTGCAAAGGAGGGAAGTTGGGGGTGATCAAGCCTGCAGGGGAAGGCAATTAAGGGTGACCAGGCTGGCAGAGGAGGGAAGTTAGGGGCAACTGGGCCTGCAGGGAAGGGCAGTTGGGGAGGACCTAGGCCTGAAGGGGAGAGCAGTTAGAGGTGACCAGGCTGCAGGAGAGGGCAGTTAGGGGCAATCAGGCTGGCAGGGGTGTGGTTAGGGGTGATCAGTCTGGCAGGCAGAAGTGTTTAGGGGCTATCAAGAAGGCAGGCAGGCAAGCAATTGGGAGCCAGCAGTCCTAGATTGTGAGAGGAATGTATGACTGCCCGTTTAGGCCTGATCCTACTGGGACCTAGAGGGGTCCCATATTGGAGAGGATGCAGGCTGGGCTGAGGGACACCCTCCCCCCAATGCATAAACGTCATGCACCGGGCCTCTAGTTACAGACATAATTGGTTTAAATGAGTTCTTATAAGTATAGGCCAAGGCCCTAATCTAATATGTCACTTTATAATGAGAAATTTGGGACACAAACACATAAACAGTGAGACAACCATTGAACACGATGCAACAGGAGCCACAGAACACCAGAGATTGCCAGAAGTCCCCAGAAGCTATGTGAGAGTCCTGGAACAGAGTTTCAAAGTTTGAACAGGAACCAATTCAGTTGACACCTTGATCTCTGACTTTTATCCTCCAAAACTATGGGAAAGTAAATTTCTATTGTGTTAAGCCATATAAAAAGGTTGGAAGTACAGTACAAAGGATAGTTTTGTTCTAAACCATTTGAAACAAGTTGCTGAACACATCCCCCAAGTCCCTGAAAACCTTAATATATAATTCTTACAAGGACATTCAACTACATAGTCACAATGCTATCAAGATCAGGAAATGCTAAACATGACCTCCATCTGATCCTCAGACCTTATTTTAAGTTGTATCAACCCACTCAAAAATGGTCTTTAGAGAGGGATCCAGTCCGAGATAAGATACTTCCTTCATTCATTATGTCTCTTTTTGTCCCCTTTACACCAAGAGAGCTTCTCAGTCGGTCCTTGACGTGTATTACCCTGATCCTGCTAAAGATCACCATAAGAGACTGTCTGTCACTTTGGTTTGTTTGACATTTCCTCATTATTAGATCAGGTGATGCATCTCTGGCAATAATGGCACAGATAGGATACTATGTTCTCATTTCATTCTAGTGGATCGCCCAAATTTCAGTTTGTTTCATTATTGACCACATGATTAAGGTAGTGCCTGCCAGACTTCTGCTCTGTAAGATTTCCCCCCTTTGTGGTTGTATTAGTTTTCTGTTCTTGCTGTGACAAGTTACCACAAACTAGGTGGTTTAAAATAACAAACATATTCTCTCATTGTTCTGGAGACTAAGAGTCTGAGAGCAAGGTGCCAGGAGCGCCAAACTCCCTCTGGAAGGTCTAAAGGAGAATCCATTCTTTGCTTCTTCCAGCTTCTTGCTGACTTTGTTGGCATTCTTGACTTACGACTGCATCACTCCATAACAAAGTGGAATTTATTCTGGGATGCAAGGCTGGTACAATACTCACAAATCAATAAATGTGATACATCACATTAATAAAATGAAGGATAAAATTACATGACCATATCAATATAGGCAGAAAAGCATTCAACAAAATCCAGCACCCTTTTTGACATAAACCTCTCAGTAAAGTGGGATTAGAAGGATCATACCTCAAAATAATAAAGGCCATATATGATAAACCTACAGCCAACATCATATTCAATGGGCAAAAACTAAAACCATTTCCCCTAATAATAGGAAGAAGACAAGAATGTCTGTTTTCACCATTCATATTCAACATAGTACTAGCCACAGCAATCAGACAAGAAGAAAAAATAAAAGGTATCCAAGTTGGGAAGAAGGAAGTAAAACTGTCATTATTCACAGAAAGACATGATATTATACATAGAAAACCCTACAAAATCTACCAATAAAGTACTAAAGTTAATAAGTGAATTCAGCAATGTAGCAGCATAGAAAATTAACAGCCAGAAATTGATGGCATTTTTATACACTAATAATGACCTATCAGAAACAGAAACTAAGAAAACAACATTTACCATTGCAACAACAAAAATATACCTAGGAATAAATTTAACCAATGAGGTAAAAGACCTTTACTCAGAATACTATAGGTCCTATAGTATAGGACATTGAAAAAATAAATAGAGAAGGATGTAAACAAGTGGAAACATATTCTGTGTTCAAGGATTAGAAGAATTATCATTAAAATGTCCATACTACCCAAAGCAATCCATAGATTCAACACAATCCCCATTAAAATACCAATGGTATATGTCATAGATCTGGAAAAATTATCCAAAAAATGTATATGAAATCAAAAAGGACCCCGAATAGCCACAGAAATCCTGAGAAAGAAGAACAAAGTTGGAGGAATCATAATACCAGTTATCAAACTATACTACAAAGCCATTATAATCAAAGCAGCCTGGTATTGGCACAAGAAAAGGCAAATGGATCAATGGAACAGAACAGAGACCCCAGAAATCGGCCCAAGCCATTACGCTCAATTAATATTAAAAAAATATATATATATATATATATATATATATATATATATATATATATATATATAAAATATATATTTTACTGATTTTTTACAGAGAGGAAGAGAGAGGGATAGAGAGTTAGAAACATCGATGAGAGAGAATCATTGATCAGCTGCCTCCTGCACATCCCCCACCAGGGATGTGCCCGCAACCAAGGTACATGCCCTTGACCAGAATCGAACCCAGGACCCTTCAGTCCCCAGGCCAACGCTCTATCCACTGAGCCAAACCAGTCCTGGCTACGCTCAATTAATATTTGACAATGGGGGCAAACACATACAATGAAGTAAAGATAATCTCTTCAATAAATGCTGGTGGGGAAATTAGACAGGTGAATGCAAAAAAACTTAGATCATCAACTTGAATCATACAGAAAAATAAACTCAAAATGGATAAAAGATTTAATTGTAAGTTATGAAACCATAAAATCTTAGAAGAAAATATAGGCAGCAAGATCATAAATATCTCACATAGCAGAATTTTCACAGATAAACTTCCCAGTGCAAGAGAAACAAAGGAAAAATAAACAAACTGGTCCACATCAAACTAAAAAGCTTCTGCACAGCAACAGAAACCATGAACAAAATGCAAAGGGAACCCACTGTATGGGAGAACATATTTGCAAATGATACATCTTATAAGGAGTAATTCCCAAAATATCTAAAGAACTCATACAATTCAATAAAAGGAAGACAAACAACCCAACTTAAAAATGGCTCAGTGGATAGAGCATCGGCCTTTGGACTGAAAGGTCCCAGGTTCGATTAAGATCCAGGTCATGTACCTTGGTTGCAGGCACATCCCTGGTGGGGGGCATGCAGGAGTCTGCTGATCAATGTTTCTCTCTCTTCGATGTTTCTAACTCTCTATCCCTCTCCCTTTTTCCTCTGTAAAAAATAAATAAAATATTTTTTAAAATGGGCGAAGGACCTAGACACTTCTTCAAAGATAGCAAAAAGATGGTAAAGGGACATAAAAAAGTGCTCCAAGTCTCATGCAAGCCCCCTACTGTGGATTTAGCCTGCAACCCAGGCATGTGCCATCGTTGGCTGAGACCTCTTGTTTCATACATTGGTTGATGCTCAACCACTGAGGCACACCAGTCCGCTTTCCCCATCTT